AATTTGAAATCCATTTATCTGCTTAACCAGTCGCATTACTGAACTTTGCTAACTAAGGAATTGATAGAAAAATGAGAGGACTCTTAATGAGTTGAGGCATGATAGATAGAAGTTTCAAAAGAACCGACTTGATAGAACAGGAGTGCATTTCCGATCAGGCCAAATATGGCTAATGTACAAGTGATGACTCCGTTAACGACAAAACTGAATTGCGCATATACCATCAGCTGATTGAGTACTTGCATTGAGTTTTCATCACCGATACTCTGAATTTGCAAAGAGTTTGAAAAGTTAATACTCTCTCAAGTGGTAATTATAACTGGAATATGGTCGTTTGAAAGCATTCAAATCAGAACGACAGGTAAGGTGTGTAGCTGTATAGCTGTATAAATATTCAATTAACTGCGTAAGCGAATGACTATAGCTAATAAATCGAGAACTGAGTAACCAAATATGTCATGATAGTGCCATGAAACTTGTGTGCATCGGTTAAAATCAACCGTATTCCTTGGAATATTAATTCACTCTTGAATGTGAGCTCGTTTGACGTTCAGTTTTTTTTTGGAAACATTTTTGAGCTCTGTTCAAGCAATCACACAGATACATTAGCATTAACGCAAGCAAGCAAAAAACTTATGACCAACTCTACCTCATAAAAGAGTAAAATATCGAAGCACCAGTCTTGCACAGGTAGATGATCGATGTCCAGTGTTGCTGTCTCATTGCCCATATCAAATTCTTCGGCTCCATTCCAGTCTTCATAAAGCATAGCAAACAAAAACCAACTTCACTCACCAAAACTTCAGCACTCTCTTTGGCTATACTGTAAAAAAAATTCGTTCGTATCATTTCCTCTGCACAAAAAACAGCAGAACGTATGCAAAAACACGCAGCAGTGGCAAACGCAATACGGATAAAATCTATGTATCACTTCTAGCGATCACATGTCGAAATCTGATTTTGATAAGTGCTCTAGCTAAAATGCAGATAAACACCTCTGAAAATAAACCATCGAATGCAATTATTCGTATTCCTCTCATCTCCCACCATCCCCAAAAAAACAACACGTATCATATGCATTCGAAGAAAAATTCCCGTTCTCGCCAGTGCACGAAAGCAGTTTGAATACGAAAATCGCTTACATGTTATGCATTTAGCAAGTTTCATTTATTGCACAAGAAGTTATACATTACTACCTAAAGTGTCAATCTTAGGTAGTAACGTATAACTGTAAAATAATATGGTGGAAAAAGTAATGTAAAATGATATGATGGGAAAAGTCAAAAACTCGAAACCATGGTCAAGCAGCTGCTAAATAAGCAATAATCGCTCGCGATTGCATGCTTGCTCCCAGACCAGAAAGGATTTTGACTCGTCTGGGATTAATGCAAACAAATTGGTTTTATTTTTTGATGATGATCGATAACATAAACATTCATTAATGCATGGCTCGCTTTGCAGAGGTAATGAAAGATTCAGAGATCCGCCGCATCTATACTAAACTGAGTTGATCGATGAAATATGTTATTATTGCCTGATGTGAGTAATAGTCATAATGATAATAACAATAACAATAATGATTCTAACCAAATCCATAATATTGATAATGATCATAAATTAGTCATAGCAACGTGTAAATTTGATGGGGCTTAGCATAATTTTCGAATTTTTCAGCATGTTTACTTTGAGGATCCTTTCAAGCAACCATTGGTGATGCATTATTCTAATTGAATTCAATTTGTAGCTAACAATAAGTCAAATATTATAGCATATCTCTTATCCGATAAATGAAATTTAATTCACTTTTGACAAGAAAACTGTTGACTGCATGGTGATTCCGCTAGAAAGCTTACTTACTGTGTCAGAATGCTCTTTTAAGGACGCTTGAATATATTGTATAAAAGCATCGCTTAAATACCACACATTGAATTGTTTCATTAAATGAAACATTTACGAGAACAAGCAGAAATCAGAACGGATGCAGTATCTAAGGAGAAATGTGTCGAACAAAATAGGATAGAAATAGAGCGGACATGAAGATATTCGAGTCCTGAACAAAGTATTAATATGTGATCGACACTACTTGTGAAGGAAAGTGGCTTATCAAAAGAAAGGTTTTCCTGATGAAATACGATTAGCGAAGAATTATTTAAAAATATCAAATCTTCAGGAAGAAACTTGTGCTCTCATTCTCGCAATACCACACACTCATCACAGTGACAATAGCTACGGTTGAGTGTTTTCGATTGAATTGCATTAAGCGCATATTATCTGCGATGACATTGTGAATGCATTGTAAATATAATTATATCCGCATCAATCCCTTCGTTCAACGCTTTATCGTAAAATCATGTCACCTCTTCATTCTGTTTTATACTCCCTTTCATAATATATTTAGCATATATATATACACATATGCATGAATATTTTATTTTTGCGTCTACAACACTGTTAAAGTTATTGATACGAAAAAGCAGAAATTGCAGATCAAGCCAGTAGGAAGATGGAATATTTGATATTTTGATAGTGCTTTTGAAGTTTTCGAGACCGTCGTTTCGCGTATCCAAACGGAAACAAAAGCTATTATATTACATTTCCGACATTTCATTTCATTTCTCACATTTGTGCATTTCTGAATGCAAGCTGTACAAGAGGATCTTATTTGTGTAGAGTGACATGTAGTACTGTAGTCGAAAACATCCACTGTTAGCTCATTATGCGCACTGTTTCGTAAAATGTTATACGCGTGGATAGCAGCAATTATTTTATGTTAATAATTATCATTCTAGTATCATTGTTTATAGACACGCCACTGAGATGTATTGCGTGAAATTGTTTACTGCTTCGAGTAAGTTGTTGTGTTTGTTTTGAAGAGAAATGCAACCAACGGTTTCTGATTTGAGAAAGATGCGGCGCGGCGATTTCCTCAATCAA